AATATAATAAATGATGTCAGAACATTTGAAACCTCAACCTTTATTACTTTTCAAAGCTTGTGATTTTTCATTTCTTTGCAACTTCTTTTTCCCGTTTAATTAAAATTTGTTTCACCTTTGAGTTGCGTTTTTAGGCTTCTTTAATTACTTTTGAAAATGAAATAGAGCGTTGAAGGTCGACACACTCACAGTTCATGACATGAGAAAATTAATGGCTTTGCTGGTAAATTTCGTGACGTGCCATTTTTTGAGTCAACATAATTCATGTCCTTAGCCCGTTCTGGGTGTTATTTTGAAATTCCTTTGATTAAATTTTACAAAATATACTAAGTATTTAGATGTTTAGGATATACTCCCTCCATTAAAAAATGTAAGGCATTTTTAAAAAGTTAAATGTTGAAAAATATAAGGCATTTTTAATCTTTTAAAATGTAATTATTATTTTTTTTAAAAGTGCCTCTATTAATAATGATTTTATATTTATTGTAGGGTATTTAATAGGGATGAATATGAAAAAAAATGGTTAATTAATTTAAAAATAGATAACTACTTTATTGAAGGATGAAATTTGATTAAAAATGTCTTATATTTTTTAACGGAGGGAGTAAGTTAGAACGTGGACTTTTATTCCTATTAGCAAGAACATGCATTGGATTAAGATTATTGGAAGCGTTCCAATTTTGATTTATTCGGCATATTATGGGTTTCATGCAAATTAAACGACCCGCCGGTAAATTGCCTTCTTTGCTCAAAAGGGGAAAATCATCAGAAATTGCCTTCAACTAAATTTGAACAAGCAACACATGTCTCTCTAGTATCACGTGTGACTTCTAAACTCAAAATCCTCACTTTATAGTATACATAATTAAATTTGCCCACCTTAAAAACACCCTGCACCTAAAACATATTTGTTTGAAAAGAATAAGAAGAAATTAACAGCGTAAGTTTCAGATATTTATAAAGATTGTGACTCATAGTTCTCGCAAGCATTCTATTTTATTGTGGGGTCTTTCAATTTAAATCTTAACTTTAACCTGAATTATGGATGATTGTGATTTTTCAGTAGGAAAAGAGCCCATGGATTCATAGAAAACTGGGATTAGTCTTGGCAGTTGTAATTGTTAAACCATACTCCATACTAATTAGTTATTAATCAATTCCAGCATTACATCAACATCAACACGGGTGCTTATCTTAATTCTGAAGCCGTCCATTGCTCTTAAAATAACATTATCTTTTGCCGACACGGCCCCACCAAGCTTTATGTACAGTGATACGTGTACGTATATGGAGGCGACACGTTGTCCATATAGCAGCTCCACCGAGTAAATCAAACCGTAACCAACGAAGTAACTGTCTACTTTTGTCCTCTGACTTCTGGCCCCAATAAAAACAACCTCCTCTTTTGATTCTGGCCCCCTCTCCTTAACACTTGTATGCTCCTCAATTGGCCTTCATTTAATAATAATTTGAATCTTGATTTTTCTTGACCGACAGGTGATTAGATTCCCACCAAGACTTTTCTTTCGTTTTCCTTTCTAATTAAGATAATCTACTCCCTCTGTTCCAAATTTCAATGCTGCTTTGGTCTTTTAAAATTCTTGCATGATTAAATATATAAAAATATAATATAGTACTTTATTAAATTTATCCCTCGTTTAATTGCATTAGAATAACAAGCATGCGCATTTAACTTTATTAAATAAAATAGTTAAATTGTTAGATTAGATGAGCGTAGAGCAAGACAAATATTATTAATTTTCTCTCTATTTCTAGCTATATGAGAAAAGTAATTAATTTCACAGTTAATGATAATTAATATCCTTAAACATATAAAAAATGTCGGACGGTTCACTTTCCCCCTTCACTAAAATTAATGACTGCAATTAAATTTATCTAGAAATTACGACTTAGTGCATTAAAGATGGACAGTATTAGAAAAGAAATAAGTATTATACCTTTACCTTATATTCAAAATTAAATAAAGTTTAAAACTTTGCCCACCATAATTAGGACTGGAAAAAATATAGTCTTGAGATTCTAAAAGACTTGTAATGTAAAAAGCAACAAAAGACTTACCTCGAAAATACCGGTAGGAATATATCGATCAGACTTTTCCATCAAAGCCATGATTATTATTTTTATATAAACATATTTCATAACATATTATATACGATAGAGTAGCTTACTTGTCATGATTCTAGATTGTTCTTCCCCATGATCTTTTGCAGCTACCTTGTTACCTTGCCTAGTTTGATTTTTTTTTTTTTAATGTGAATATAGAAAAAGGCCTAATATTGTTGGACTTGGGGACCATCGTATGCATGGTTTAGCTAAAAGAATTTAAAGAAAAGTAAAATGAACAATAATTCTAATATCTTATGATGATATATTAGTATGATATGATTTGTAGCGTTATGCATGATAAAACATTTTTCATCCAACAGGCCAGCCAAGGGTTTAATTATTTTTAATACACCCTTTATCTCAAATTATAAAATACTTTTAAATAAAATCTTACATATCAATAACTCTCGTTAATTACATTTAACAATCTTATTTTTTTTAAAATAAAAATATAATATTTTAAAAATACCCATCATTTAATATATTAAAAAGAAAACTGATGAAAATTAATTATAAAGAGAAAAATAATAATATTAAAATTGTTATATTTAATGAAATCTTAATTTACTCAAAATGTTTTATATTTTGGGATAAAAAAACTTATTTAAAAAATGCCTTATAATTTGAGACGGAGTGAGTAATTAATATCAAGAGATCTAAATTAGTTAATTAACAAAAACTTTAAATTAAAAATTTGAAATGTTCTGCTTAACATTTGCTCACATACTATTATTATAATAAGATCCGATTAGATGTATATAGTGTATGGGTGGGTGCCAGATATGAGGTTGCCTCATTTAATTTAGCAAAAACCAGTGAGCTCTTTTGGATTTTGGTTGAGGCAAATCAAGTAAAGCCACTCAAACATAAACATACATCCATACATGTATATGTATGCCGGGTTCAACTTGATTTATGATTTCGCTCATTCACTTGGTCGGAATTCGTTTAGATATTTATGGTACGACTAAACAAGTTGACCCACTATACTAGTGTGAAGTGTTTTGAATAAATAGATCCCACTTCACCAAACATTTGATGGGGAAAAAGTCAACTCCTCCGTGTAGTGTGAAAATATGAATATATTTAAATTTAAATAATAAGTAATGAGTAATGCACACATAACTTTTAAAACTAGGCACATAAATTGATATTCATTGGATGAAAGACACCACTCTGGTGCCACTTGATGGGTGATGATTCCCTTCATAAAGCATCATCTTTGCCCCATTCAGTCTGCATGATTAAAGGCTAACTAGACAACGAATAAGGAATAGGTAGTTATCTATCTATGCACGTAATTATTTCATTATTTTTTTTTTAACGAAAGTATCTTTTGTCAATAGCAGAGTCGGAGACTAATTTACTTTCAGGAACAATAAATTAAATGACAAACCCCTCGCGGTTAGAAAAATATGCCGCTTATTTTCATGTTTATAAATGTTTGTTGTGTGATTTTAAATATATTACACACATTTAAGCTTGTGAATATAAAAATTGTTATTCAAAACAGTGTGTATTATTTGACGCAGAAGCATTAATCATCATATAATATTAACAATATTTGATGGATATGACGTGCCTTGCTAGCGTGTCACTGTGTCTTGTTCCCATATATGTGCCTCGTGGGTTCATGTTCAAGCTTCGGGAGATATTTGTGCAACACACAAGTTAGTAGTTTGTTCTTGTTCGTTCTGGCTTCTGGCAAACACAAACTAGCAGTTCAAGACTTTCAGGTTGGATGAAAAAGGAGACGCACGGGTATGATTGAGAAGTCCATCAATTAGACGGCATAAATAAACGTCAATAATACTTAGTGGTTTAGTGAAACTGGAGGGAAGCTGGCAAAGTCCAAATAAAACCACCCAGAAATATCTAGCACAAGCTGACAACGCAACAGGGAAGCACACCTTCCCTATTACTCTTATTTTATTTTTTTATTGCCTCCGTGTCCCCTCAACTCACCCTAGCTAGCTCCTCCGCACCGCCCATTTATTATTTAATTTTTCTTTTAAAGAAGTCAAATCTATTAAATTATTGGATTAACATTTTGACTTATTCAATGAATTGTTTTATTTACAATTCATTTCATCATGATTTAATTATGATTTTCACCATCAATTTTGAATTAATGTCTCAATTAATTTAATCATTAATCTGATTTTCAATACATTTATTTTAACACCCCGATTCTTTCGGCAATTTCGCTGCCCTAGTCTCTTTGTCCGTTTTTACCCACCTCAAGCAAGCATCTTCTCCTTGCATGCCTTTTCTCTTTTAAATTTGCAATGCCGAACCCGTAATTTAAAATTAATTAAGCCATGTTAATACTTTTCTTTGCATCTCTCTTGAGTTCCGTCTTTTATGATGCATTTTATTTGAATTTAATTGTTATAAACTATAAATAAATAATGATAACATAAATTCAAATTTAAATATTATTTAAAAAAATAGCAAAGCATTTTTAGTAAATGTTAGATGCCATAAAAATAAAAATAAATGCATGGGCTTTTTTATACAGTACATTAGTTTGAATTTATATATTTCTACTTCTCCATGATAAGAGAATGAATATTTCAGTTTCAAATTTAATTTTATTTTTAATTTTTTTTTGGCCTGAAGAATTTTTATTTTTAAATTGGCTTTTAGCATTTGAAGCAATATTTATATTTTTCTCTTTGGATGCCTGACGGACAGTGAATCAAATTCATGCATGTGAATGGAATGGAGCAAAGATTAGAGCATACACTATACATGGTCGGTACTGTAGACAAAGATGACGTGACACCCAGCCTCTGAGGCGACAGGAAAATATCATTGCCACGTCAGCTCACAATCCGAGCTTCTTAGAGCTCCTAAAGATCTTCTATATCTCTCTGCCCCTCCTCCTTTCTCTCAGTAAAACCTCCACCACCTCCTTAATTTTCCCAATTCATGCACCAAATATTTTTATTATAGAACTTACCACTCCCATTTTTCCAGGTTTTAGCATATCGCCCTCCAAATCAGAGTGATTAGTTTCTTAATCAATCGGTTCTTTATTCACGGAGTGCAAGGTACGGGTTCTTTTTTGGGAGTTATTCTGCTGCATTTTTTTGAACAAAATTTTTTGCTGTTCTCTTGTTTATTTTTGATGATGATTCCGTTTTCTTAGATTAGTGGATCTAATTTTCCCTTTGTTTATGTTCTTAGATATTTCAGTGATTGTTTTCTTTAAATTTCTTTCTTTCTGGCTGCTGAACTGTTTGGTTCTGAAGAAAACTGAGTAACTCTCCGGGAGGATTCAGTATCATTTTCCTTTCAGTTTTGTTCAGTTGTATTATTTCCCTAAGATTTGCTTGTTGTTTGGTCGAAATCTACTTTTTGCAGTAAATTGCTGCGTTTTTCTGGGAGATGCATTTGGTTGCCTCCTCACAAAAATAATTTCTTGTGTTTGGTTCCCACGAGAATGAAAAAAAAAGGAAGAAAGAAATATACAGCGATTCGCTTTGCTCGATTGATCCATTTTTCTTAGTAGACGGAAATACTAACATCTGTGGGCATTTCTAACAGGGAATGTTGAATTACGATATTTTAATCCTTGATTGGTAGCCGGTCGGCCGGATTCTGGGCTATTGGTTCTGGTATTAGAAGTATATTTCCTATTCCATGGCTGGTCCAAGTGAAAGGTGGATTGACCGTCTTCAGTTCTCCTCGTTGTTCTGGCCTCCCCCACGAGACAGTCAACAAAAAAAGGTACCTATTACTTCCAGTTTTCATTACAAATGTTTATCGGTCACTTCTGGATTTGAGCGAGAAATATTTCTAGCAGAATAGCAGATTATAAATAAAATTTCAACATTCAATATGAAGCATCTATTTCAAAGAATGGAAGAAGATTTTCAGGACTTTTATTTGGGTGGAGAACCTTCCACGTATTCTTCTTCTTTTCTTTTCTTTTCTTTCTTTTCTTTTTTGGTTTTTGGTTACGTTATTTCTAAGAGAAGGAGAAGTGATAAATTTTCTTTAAAATTTGGTACCCTATGTTTCCCATAGTTTGATATTCAAAATTCTTGAACTACAAGAACGAACTATGAAACACATACAACACAGTGAATAGTGTAACTCACTTCCAGCTCCATGTAAAGCACAATCCCACAATCTAGTTATCCTCATCAAGATTCTCTTATTTCATTGATGCTATATGCACTGAAGGCTGGAGTTCATCAAAACAACCATAGGAAACATGTATGAAGGGATGTCATTAGGTGGAAATCTTTAGAAGCTAATCAGCACATCAATATCATCAATATATGCGATAAAATTTATTGGGAGCTGCAATATTTACAAGTCATGAATAGTGCAGTTGATCTCAGATTCCATGCTAAGCCTGAGGCCCACAGTCTACTTGGGGGCGTGTTATTGTTAAGCATTTTCCTTTATTGTACTTAGCAGTATGAAGGTTTTGATTAATTTGGGAGGTCTTGCATCATCATTAGATCACACTAATGGCTATTTATCCAGACAAAATCTTTGTAGTACAGTAGGAGAATTAAATATGCAACTTTGTATCTGAACTCGCACCCACTTGAGCCAGCCTTGAGTTACTAACCTGAGAAATTTGGAGGTAATGCCTAATTGTAGAGGATACTGCTACAGAAAAGTTTAGAATCTGAAAAATTGAATTATGCAAATTAAAGGTGGATTTGTTCAGACATATAATTAGGAAGTCTTTCTAAACTGACACAGGCTAAACTGTGAAATAACTTGGAACTGGAAAATGATTTTGCTATCTTTTCTCCCTGTTGTTTCTCATCTATTTTTCCGATATATTCATAAGTTCTATTTCAGTAATTTTTCACGCCAAAGATTATTGGATAGCTATTTGCTCCATGCTTTAGATGTCAGATAACAGCATAATCATTTTGTGAATAAGTGTTCCCGAGTCTATATTCATGGTTTCTCTTATATTCTTCCATTTCGAAAGCTCATAATTATCATTCCATATCCTCGTTTCTTATGATATAATTTAATGTTTTCCTAGGATCAAATTGCTGCCTATGTTGAGTTCTTTGGTCAGTTCACGTCAGAACAATTCCCTGATGATATTGCTGAGGTCTGGCGAATGCAACTTCATTTATAGACAATATTTAAAGTTTCAAGAGAAATATTCACAAATTAATCTTATTTTCAAATCAATCAAATTTTGGTTTTTTTTTTCCCATACAAGAGTTGTATCAAATGTTCACTTGCTCAATAATCTGTATGACTTTGGCAGTTAATCCGGAACCGGTATCCATCGAGGGAGACACTCCTCTTTGATGATGTTCTGGGTACTTATGCTTTAACTCATGTTAGTTTATGCTGTGTCTGATTCAACGAAAATATTTTGACGATGAACCTACTTTTGTTCCATGCATAACAACTACTTATGTATTGACATGTTCATTCAGCAACTTTCGTCCTTCATCATCCTGAGCATGGTCATGCGGTTGTGCTTCCAATGATTTCATCTGTTATTGATGGGACTCTAGTCTATGATAAGACTAGTCCTCCATTTGCTTCTTTCATTTCCTTATTCTGCCCACAAAGTGAGGTAAAATCCCTTGGCTGATGTTCTAATTTTATTCACAAGATTTAATTTAACAGGACATATGGCTTGTTCATTATAAGCAGTATGATTCATGGTTTGAAGTTTATTATTTAGAATGTTCATTCTGTCTTTCAGTTTCTTATTGCTTAATCAAGGCATCTTCACTCTGCTTCCCTATCAATAATTTTATTTGTTTTTTTTTATTTGGCAGAATGAATATTCAGAGCAATGGGCTCTGGCATGTGGTGAAATTTTGAGAATTTTAACTCATTATAATCGTCCCATATTCAAAACGGAAAGACAGTGCAGTGAAACAGAAAGAAGCACTAGTGGCAGCCATGCAACAACAAGCAATTCTGTTGATGGGAAACGTGACCGTAGCTGTTTGACACAACTGGAGAGGAAACCTATAAGGCCCTTGTCTCCTTGGATAACTGATATATTGTTGGCTGCACCTCTGGGCATTAGAAGTGATTATTTCCGGTGGTGGGTATTTTTTTTTTTACAACATAGAGATGAATATTTTGGTTCTTCTTTTGGTTTGGGAAGATGGTATATTTCCTCTATTGGTATATTTCCTCTATTTTTGGTTTTTCCTTCCTAAACTGATTGACTTCTAAATCATAATGTAATTTTCTCAAAACCCTTTTCATTGCTATATTAAAGGATATAAAATAATCTGGGATTATGATCACCCATCCTTCATCTAAAAATTAGTTTACAAGAATATAAAGTTCTGTAGTTTATCATCTGTTCTTTTTTTAATGTAATTGTCAGCATTTTTCACAGCAGCATATAAATAAGAAAAGGAGGTTGTTGTCAATTAGCAGTGTTCCAGTTCATTAAATTATTCCTTTTACCATGAATTTCATCATTTAGGTCCACAAAATTATTGAATATATTCGATTTGTCTGAAGAACGAAGATCAAATTGTTGACATTCCAAATCTTAGTTTTCCTCAGTCTTTTCTCCCCTTGAACTGAGAACAAGTGATGGACATATATCTTAACTATGATGAATACCTTTTGTCAACTGTTTTTTCTTTTTTTTTTGCATATAATAGTTATTCACTGTTGTGGGCTTAGGCACTGAGCACCGAGTAAGTTTCCTTTCCCTTAAATGATGGATATTGTCATGCATCAACAGGTGCAGTGGAGTCATGGGTAATATGCCGCTGGAGACTTAAGCCTCCTATAACTGGTAATTT